AAATAATATTTTAAAATTCTTTGAGCTTTACATCACAGGAATAAATGACATTTTAAAATATATTCGAATAGAAAAGTTATTTTAACTTAATTATTTTATTTGAATAAATAATACAATTTAATATTAGTGATAATATCTTAATATTAGAGTTTTACCTGTATTTTTAATCAAATAAATGCAGCCTTGGTGATGTGTAGACAACGTTTGGTACAATGCATATAAAAACAAATGGCACAACAGACAAAATATTGTTTTAATGAGAAATTTATTTAATGTAGCAACTGCTTTATACTAACAATATAAATACAGTAAGCAACATAAATAAAACATATTATTATACCACATATGTAAAACTTGTAAAAAATATATGTATAAAATAATGCATATATTATAATAAATATATATAAATTACTCTAATCTTTTACTAATGTTATTATATTAATGATTGTTGTTTTAATTAAATGTTATGTATAAATACAGTATACTATTTTAAAACGATAAAATATGAAATATATTTTATGTATAACAATATAAATGAAAATATTATACCATATGTAAAACAAATACCTTATTTTATGACTATACTATATGCTTATACAATAATTTATTCTATCAATTAATTATTATTAGATATTATAATTATTAATACATATTGCTATAATTATGCTATAATATCATGATTATTATCATTTCTCAGTATTTTGACATTATTTTAATAAACTCTATTCTATGTATATTGTATGAATTGTTATAATTATTTAGTCATTACATATTTATTAATATAATTACATCACTATATATATATATATATAAATTATACAAAAATATTAATGAACTAATTAAAAAATAATTTAGTACATCATTTAACTTTATAATTGAAACCATTATAATTTAAATTATCATAAATTTTAATAATCAATCTGATTTTTCTAGTGTTTTTGAGTTGTTGTTGTTATAAATATATTCTGCTTAGTTCTTCCCCAACACTGAAGCTATCAGAGCTGAACGGGTGAAACTGGATGGAGGATGTCCTTAAACCCCAAAAGATGTCCCAACACCTTCCTCATCTTCTCCTGACATTGGCTCGTCTCATCATCGCCATGCCTTTATTTCTCCATATGACTCCAAAACGAGCTCGTTGGGGAAATCACACAAGTATGAAACATCACTGGCTTTACCTCCAGGCTCTTCCATGACCTTGCCGAATATAGCCACGACCTCTTCTTTACTGTGTCCATGTGGAGTGTCTGGGGACGTCAGTCCCTGCAGCACTCGACGTGTGTGTGTGTGTGTGTGCTCCTCAGGCACTCTCCTCACTGTCCTGTCTATAGAAATAACTCTGTTATGCTCCTCGTCACTGAACACACTCCAAACTCCCAGCGACAGCCCACCCTTCCTGCATCAAAGCCGTCCCAACAGCTAACGTCAAGAAAAACTGCGCTGTCAACACAAAACAACACAAAAGTTGCCCTTTCAAATCCAAGAGAGGTTGAAGTAAACATCTCCACAATCGACAACTGCTGGCGAATGATCTGAGCATCCTCTCCATGGTAAAGAAAAACCCTTTCACAACATCCAGCCACAGCACCATATTACAGTGACGGTATTTGATGGTAATACCATCGTACTTTGATCAAAACCAAGGTACTGAAATTGATGTACTTTGATGTAATTGATTTACATGGTACACGCCAAAGTAGTTTCAAGAATACCTTAATATTCTGGTTACAGTAGAACGCTGATCTTTTCTTTTTATTCACATCAAAATTGGAGGAAAGGTTAAGGAATTACAGCTCTTTAATATGTACCTCCCCCCTTTTTCAAGGGACCATAAGTAATTGGAAAATTGACTCAATTGAGCTGTTTCATGGACAGGCGTGGGCTATTCTTTCATTATTTCTACATCAATCAAGCAGGTAAAAGGTCTAGAGTTGATTCTAAGTGTGCCATTTGCATTTGGAAGCTGTTGCTGTGAACCCACATCATGCGGTCAAAGGAGCTCTCCATGCAAGTGACACAGACAATTGTTAGGCTTCAAAAACAAAACAAATCCATCAGAGAGATAGCAGGAACATTAGGAGTGGTCAAATCAACAGTTTGGTACTAGAGACCTGCACTCCCGCTGGAGTACCGCGGGACCCAACGCAACAGGGTGCGGCGCGGGACAACTCTTGATGGGCGAGTGCGGGCGGGAGAAAAACCCTTTCACAACATCCAGCCAAGAGAAGAGCACTCTCCAGGAGGTAGATGTGTCACTGTCAAAGTCTACAATCAAGAGAAGACTTCACGAGAGCAAATACTGAGAGTTCACCACAAGGTGCAAACAAGGCCAGATTAGACTTTGCCAAAGAAACATCTAAAAAAAAGCCAGACCTCTTCTGGAAAAGCATTCTTTGGCGGCTGAAATTAAGATCAACCTGTACCAGAATGGAACGGAAAGAAGAAAGTATGGAAAAGGCTTGGAACAGCTTATGATCCAAAGCATACAACATCATCTGTGAAACATGGTGGAGCAATGTGATGGCATGAGCATGCATGGCTTCCAGTGGCACTGGGTTACTGGTGTTTAGTGATGACGTGACAGAAGACAGAAGCAGCCGGATGAATTCTGAAGTGTATAGGGATATACTCTCTGCCCAGATTCAGCCAAATGCAGCAAAGTTGATTGGGCGGCACTTCATAGTACAAATGTCCGATGACCCAAAACATACAGCAAAAGCAACCCAGGAGTTTTTCTAGGTAAAAGTGGAATATCCTGTAATGGCCGAGTCAATCTCCTGATCTCAACCTGATTGAGCTTGCATTTCACTCGCTGAAGACAAAACTAAGGGCAGAAAGACCCACAAACAAACGACAACTGACGTCAGCTGCAGTAAAGGTCTGGCAAAGCATCACAAAGAGGAAACCCAGTCTCTGGTGATGTCCATGAGTTCCATACTTAGGGCAGTCATTGCCTGCAAAAGATTCTCAACAAAATATAAAAAATTAACATTTTATTTATGATTATATTTATTGGTCCAATTACATTTGAGCCCCTCAAAATGGGGAGACTGTGTATAAAAATGGTTGTAATTCCTAAGCTTTTTATGTTATACTTTTGTTCAACTCCTTAAATTAAAGCTCAACGTCTGCACTACAATTTCATCTTGATTGTTTCATTGTAATTCTATTCTGGTGGCATACAGAGCCAAAAATATAAAAATTGTGTCAGTGTCCAAATATATATGGACCTAAGTGTATGTATATATACAAAATCTAAAAAAAAAAAAAACATTTTTTTTAATATAATAAATAATTACAATTGTTTAATTATATAATAATTATATATTTAACTGATAAGCCTTTTAGGCTTTTAGAAAAAAAAATCCACATTTTTTATCAAAAAAAAAAAAAAGGAGTACAACATTTTGGGACATGCACCATGACAATACCATGTTTTTGTTGGATTCACATCATAGTAGCAATTTACCATGTTATCGGCCATTTAATATAAGCATTCATAAATATTACATGTAACATCACATTATATTAAACTATACAATGTTGTTTTTGGAAATATACCATGATCTAACTACAATAATATTACCATCTAATACCATCAATATACCACATTAACCATCATGTAAATATGTAAAATAAATAAATAAACAAATAGTAAATGAATAAATGTATTTACTTAAATGGAATCTTACTACCATGGCTACCATTGTAGCCTATTCATATAATTAGCATGGTACATGAATAATATGGTAATAATATAATAATTATCAGAAAACACATTACACTGGTTAGTTTGCATTAGTCAGCTATTAAACAAAAATGAAGCCAAGAACAAAGAGCGTTTATGTTGAATGTTTAAAAAGACACTTTGAAGAGGAATCTGAGCTGAAAGCCTGTGTTTTTGTTTTGTCTGATGTCTGATGTTATTTATTTTATTGTGTCTGCAAAGTGCAAGGCTTTACATCTATTTGCACGCATTTCGTTATTTTTTTTACCCAAAAGCCAAAGCAGAGATCAAAAGATCAAAAACAAGTGAGAGTTGATCTTCAGGGCATGAACACATCATTAACATGCTTGCGCCTGAGCCTGACCTTCAAGGTTAAAAACACACACATAAACGGAACAGCACAAACACACATAAGCAGGGATAGTGAGGTTTATAGGTCATGCTTACAGAGAAACGCACACACACACACACACACACACACACACCTGTCTGTTTCAGTGTGTCAGTGTTCAGCAGGTGTCACATGATGTCAAACAGTATGTGGCTGATCCAGGCAGATCAAACCCGCAGGTCCATCCGTCCAGAGATCCTCACAGACGAGAAACACACCCTGAGCTGATGCCATCCCTGAAACACAGGAGCTACAGACATGAACAAAGGGAAAGATGTGTGTGACTGGAATTTAAGTATTAAATAGATAAATAAGACAGGAATTTTGTGCATATATATATTTTGCTATACTACACTGAATCAACATTATAACACAATACACAATTTAATATTTTCATTTTTATTGTTTATATCACATGAAAAAAATATATTTTATTAAGTTTAGAAATTAAATCTTTTTATGTGATATAAATTAAAATTAAAACAGTTATTTCTTTTATTTACATTATACAATAATTGGCACACACACACACCACACACAGCATAATATTTAAACAGAATTGTATTTAAATATAATTGTATTTTATAACATTCATATTTATAATTATTAGTACTAATACAATACTATAATTATATTAGAAAAATTATAAGTAATGATTAATAAAATACATAATATGTATGTGTATAAAAATGACAATAATAATACAATTTAAATTAAATATATCAATCAATTTTATAATTGAAATAAATTTGTATTATTAATATTATAAAAGTTATAACAATATAAACAATATATAATATTTTATTCAATAATTATCATTTCAAAACACACACATTATATTTATATATTTAAATAGAGTTGTATTTTTACAATATTAATATTTATAAAAAATTAGTACTGATATAATACTATAATTATATTAGTTAATAATTATTAATAATAATAGAATATATGTAAATGTATAACAATTACAATAATGATAATTATATTTATTTTAATCATATCAATCAATTTTATTATAATTATTAATATTATACATTTAATAACAATATAATTTTTTTTCCAATAATTGTATTCAATAACTATATATATATATGGTATATTATCATTTTTATTTATATTGTTTTAAAATAGCATACTTTATTTGTACACAAATTTAAATTAAAACAATTTATTACAAAAATTCAGTATGTGCCATTCTACCTTGTGCTTCTCCTTCGCTAGTAAACAGGTATTTCACATCATAGCTGTTACTATGTTGTGTATATATTTACATAGGATAGAACTGACCAATCAGCTTTCAAGACAAGAGCTATCAGTTTTAAAATAGAAAAAACAACACAATTAAATAGCCAACTTTTTCTGTGCATATAATAAAAAGTCTTGTTTTAAAGACAGCTCTCAACAACCCCCAACTGTCCGTTCCGGAAATAATATGAGCTTTTTTTAATTTAGATCTCCAATGAAGATTTCGGGGCTCAGAGAGGCGAACAGCTGTGTTTCTGCCCTGATAAATGACTCATTTAAATGAGTTTCATTAACGATACGTAGGAGTCTTGTCGAGCGCTGCGCTATGTTTTGATGTACAACAGCCGTTATGACAGCAGGGGTTTGTGCGGCAGTCCGTGAGTTAATGGAGTCAAATGGAAATTATCTGATGGCTAACACATCTCTGAATGTAAATCTCCCTCGAATATTGAAGTCGGGCTCGTCGTATGTCGCCCGGCTATCAAATTATTCATTCTATATACACACAATAGAAACTAAATTACCTCATAAAAAGGATGTGGAAAAAATAAATTAATTCTTTGTCATTGAAATCTCCTCCCGCTACTGAGACACATGCTAGGTTGAAATCACTAGCGTGTGACTAAGTGTTTGACGATGTGGCCTGAACCGCGACCAGCTTTTCCGGTTTCTGTGCTGCTTAATTTGAGGGTTTGGGTGGTGGAGGTTTCAATGAAAGATTAAATGAAGCTAATCCCATTTCAGATCTGCGTAAACAAACACGCCAAAGCAAAGCCCTGCCTGAAGCAAACCAAAACACAATGCTTTAATCTTATAGGTACCGATACCGTCATAAGTGCTATTTAACGGACAAATTAACGCTTACAGATTTTAACATCCTTTATTAGCGTATATCCATTCCTCACAAACTTAAAATCAATAGAAGTTAGTCTTTAAGCATTTTAATTTAGTAAAAAAAGTGCAGATGAATACTAATCTAATGAATGCTAAACAGTAGCCCTATATTACTGCAAACATGTTTCTTAACATCTGGGTTGATAAAAATACCCAATATATGAAGCATAAATGGCTTTATTAAAACCATAAAACAATGTAGGTTAGAATTATGAAAATTTACCATAGTAACCATAGTATTTCTGTGATATCTGTAGAAAAAGTAGTAATATAGAAATGTAAATAGTAATTTTTGAATGTAATTATGGTTTCTTGCTTCTGAAGATACAAGTTCATGTTAATTCAGCTACAACATAAAGTAGTTGGTAACACCTTAATAATGTTTCACATATAAAATCATGATAAAAATCAATGTAACTATGGTTTCTATGAAAACTAAATATGATATTTGGAGATTTAGCTTCTGAAGCTACAGCTAGTTCATGCTAGTTCAGCTACATTTACATAAAGTAGCCAGGTAACACTTTACAATAATGCTTCATTTGTAAAATCATGGTTAAATCGACACAACTCTGGCTTCTATAAAACAAAATATGATATTTGGAGATTTAGCTTCTAAAGCTACAGCTAGTTCTTGCTAGTTTAGTTAAATTGTACGTAAAGTAGTATGTAGCACTTTTTAGAATTATGTTTCATTTATAGAATCATGGTTAGATCAACTTAATTGTGGTTTCTATAAAAATGAAACATGATATTTGGAAACATAGCCTTTGAAGCTACAGATAGTTTATGCTTGTTTATGCTAGTTCAGCTACATTTTCTAGCTATAGCTAAATCATGCTAGTTCAGCTACACTTACAAGTAGCCGGTAACACTTTACAATAATGTTTCATTTGTAAAAACCTGATTAAATCAATGCAACTGGTTTCTATTAAACAAAATATGATATTTGGAAATTTAGCTTCTAAAGCTACAGCTAGTTCATGCTGGTTCAGCTACATTTTACATAGGCTAAAGTAGTTGGTAACACTTTACAATTATGTTTCATTTATAAAATCATGGTTAGATCAACTTAATTGTGGTTTCTATAAAAACGAAATATGATATTTAGAAACATAGCCTCTGAAACTACAGCTACTTCATGCTATATTTTACATAAAGTAGTTGGTAACACTTTACAATAATGTTTCATTTGTAAAATCATGGTTAAATCAACATAACTCTGGTTTCTATACAACAAAATATAATATTTGGAAATTTAGTTTCTGAAACTACAGCTAATAGGCTGTAATACGCATTTGATTTCTGCCTTAGTTTACAATAAAACAAACACAAACTATTTAGCATTTTGTTATGCTCATTGAAAATGTGCATAGAGAAACGTTAACGTTTGAGTCATACAGTGGGAAAAAATGGATGTAGGATTTACTTTGAAACAATTTTAACTCAGAAATTGCAAGTAAATTCACAAATAATTACAAGGAAATGGCAAGTAACTCTGATTTAAACATGGAAATTTGAAGTAGAAATAGTATTTTCTTGTAAAAAAAAGTACTCTAATAATTTAGGTTTTATTTACAACTATACGTTTTTACAGTATAAAATGTTCTATATTGCATGATAAAACCAGTTTAGCTGTGTAAAACATGGTAAATTATCTCTCTTTTGGTTGTGCACCTACAGCACAAACACTTCAGCATTTAATTTTTTCATACGCCGTCTTCAAGTACTGGATAACAAAATGCTACGTGCTCATGTGACTCAGCGAGTGAATTTCCACGAGGTGAATTACACGAGGTGAATTACGGTCAGAATTTAGTTCCCCTCAGAACTGAGTAGCATTTCAAAGGATGCTTATAAACCAGCACTCGATAGCCGGCAGCTATTTCATATAGAAAATACAGCTTATCACCGAAACGCAGACCTGTACTCATTTGCACACGCACTTACGGCTGCTAGACGCCCCGGAGAAATGTAAATTTCCCTGTGTTAATTTAATCTGCAGCAGCGTGTGGCATTTATTAAGAAAACAAAGCAAACTGAAAGGAAAACTGCTCTGATTTTATTAAAGTCTGATGTATGCCGTCAGTAAGGCAGCTCTGGGAGCAAAATGATCGATATTCATCATCACCAGCGCATTTTAGGACACTCAAATGGGAAAAAAAAACACCAGACGGAAGAAGAAAATACACATTTTATATATATTTTGATTGCAAATCTGTCTGCCTGACATCTTTTAGGACTAGAATAACCAAATATGTCAAGCATTGTGCTTATACGTGTTTGCCTTTGCACAAACCCCATGAGTTTTGAGCTATCGCATCCATCACTGTCAGGACTAATTATTGCTCTACACTTTTCTGTGTGTCGTGCAAACATACTGCAAGCCTCTCTCTCGAGATCGTTCTGTCTCGTTTTGAGGTCACAGCGGCCGTCTTTAGTTTTAACAACCCCCCCTTTTATGTCTTGTGACCTTAAGGGGTCATGTGGATGCATTTAAAGGGCCATATTCCACACCATTTAAGTCCACTTTTGACATTAGTCAAGGTTTCTTGCACCAAAAATGTCATAATTAAGTTTCACATGACCATTTTCCACTCTTAGAACTAAACAGCCTGTTTTTGCTAATACTTTTATTATGTAAATGATCTCTGTTGGTTTGACCTTGTCTAACATTCACAACCTGGACACTTTCTCCATTCTCACTGAAAATTCAAGGAAGTGAGAACGCTTCTAACATTCACAACCTGGACACTTTCTCCATTCTCACTGAAAATTAAAGGAAGTGAGAACGCTTGAAAGAAAAAGAAAGAAAGAAAGAAAGAAAGAAAGAAAGGCACTTTAAAATTACGTCCAAAACATTGTGGAATATTTTTCAAGAGTCTGTTGTTGCTGATATTATTATTATTATGGAAAGAAAGAAAGAAAGAAAGAAAGGCACTTTAAAATTACGTCCAAAACATTGTGGAATATTTTTCAAGAGTCTGTTGTTGCTGATATTATTATTATTATGGAAAGAAAGAAACAAACAAACAAACAAACAAACAAACAAACAAACAATTTTTCATATTTTTCAAGAGTTTGTCATTAATAATAATAAATACTACTAATAAAATAATTAAAATAATTACTTAATTATTATTTATGTTTATTATTATATTTATTATTATTAGTAGTAATAGTATTGAAACATTTATTGACATTTATTTTATGACCAAAAACTGTGGTATATTTTTCAAGAGTCTGTTATTATTATTATTATTATTGAAAAAGAAAGAAAAAAAGAAACAAACAAACTATTTTTCATATTTTTCAAGAGTTTGTCATTAATACTACTACTAATAATAATAAATACTACTACTAATAAGATTAATTAAATTAATTATTATTTATATATTTATTATTATTTTTATTGAAACATTTATTTTATGACCAAAAACGGTTATATTATTCATCAATAATAACGCTTCTTCTTTTTCTTCTTCTTCTTATTAAAATATATATTTAAAATGTGTTTTTATATCATATTAAATACACCACATAATTTAAATAAATAAATAAAAAATTTCCATGAAAAACTCTTGAAAATATACCCACTTTATTGACAATTTAAAAATAGATAAACAAACAAACACACATTAATAATTATCTGATAAAACTAACAAAAACGTACCAAAAATACCATGGTATTATATGTCTTTTTACAACATTTAGCATGGTATTCTTGGAAGTACCTTGGAACACCATGTAAATACCATGGTACATGAATTTCATCTCAAAGTATTACAGTGTTTACCAGGAATAAGGCCAAAAATGTACAAATAAGTAGCAAAAAGTACCATGGTATTACCATATACTTACATGTAAGAGCTCTTTCACTACAGCATTCATTTGATCTTTATATTTCCTAGCCGTACACCCTTATGAATTGCCAATGTAACTTTACATTTCTATTTTTATTAAATTGTCAGCTATACCGAGAGAAATTCACCCCGCATTTCACTCTCAGTTAATAAAGTTTCTTATGTTACAGGCCTAAAGTTCTCCGAGGTCCACAAGGAACGGCTGTCCGCTTTGGAATCGATTCAAGACTTCTGGAATCCGGCCTGCGCTGTATTGATTCACCGTTAATGCCGTAATGACTGTTTTGGCAGCGGATTTTAAACGCCGCTGTGGTGCTTTGGGACGCCGGCCATTAAAAACATGTTGTTTGATTAAAATCAGGAAATGTTTTTCAACTGTACTGCGGTTTCAGAACAGGATCCAAATGTGAGATATGCTAGAAATCACCTCCAAACACAACGCACACACACACACACAAATGGAAATGCAACGCACATTTCCGCCACCGCTGAGGTGCGATATCATGATGGCAGTGAGTTTGTCACGGCGGGGTGCAGGTAAGTGTGAGGATCTGTGTTTTGCTAACACATTAGCTCTGTTCCAAAACCTAGTGAGCATTCTGTTAGCAGCATTCATCTCAATGGCACCATAGAAGTATACAATTTGAAATATGCTATAGCTTTGTTTATGGGTGCCCAATTTTGGGCAGTTTTGAGTCTGTAAAAAAATATTTCATCAGAATACACAGCTACTCTTAAAAGCTAATACTGAATCGCTAAACTTAGCACAGAAACTATTTTCACTCAAAAATGATAAATAAATAACCCTAGCTAGTTAGTTCACACCATATTTCAAGTGGGTTTGCCATCAACATTTTGCTAAGATAAAGCAATAAATCTCTATTTTCTAAAGATTTTTTTTTTTTTGCATTTTTGCCTTTATTGTGACAGGACAGATCAGACATGACAGGAAGCGAAGTGGGAGAGAGAGAGAGAGAGGGGGGCGGGATCGGGAAAGATCCTCGAGTCGGGATTCGAACACGGGACACCCAAAGCGCAATGGCGCTGAATGTCGGCGCGCTGCCCACAAGGCTATCGGCGGCGACATAAATCTCTATTTTCTAAGCATTAAAAATACACAGCACGCAGAAATACTCAGTAAATCGGTCCATAATTTACAGTAATTTCTCTTCACTTAGTCAGCCATATTGGATTTATTTCCTCAGCTCGTTGCAGTGCATTCTGGGATTGCTTTAAAATGCCAGGCTTTGGAACACAGCTAATGTGTAACTAAAACAGAAAAAACAGGTCAGATGGACCGAACCAGAGACAAACAGTCAGAGATGTCTGACACCAGGGAAAACGAAGGACGATTCGTCTGACAACAGGAGTCCGATTACTGACAGACTCACTCGTACAGCAGCGCACAGGTGTGAGGAGTGTGTGCTGTGTCAGTGCGCTTACCGCCTGCGTCTCTATTTGTGCTTGATTACACACAGCATGCCCACAGAGGCCACTGCCACTTCTACAATTGCGCACAAACACACAGAGGCCTTTTCTTCCCATTCGTCACTGTATTCCTTGCTAGTCTGACAAGGAATACTATTGTGAAAATTGTATTCATTATATCAGCTGCGGCCGGTAATGACATATCAAGGCACGTAAAGTGTCTTCTCATCTCCTGTGGCGCTATCAGAGCGTTTCAATTCACACAATCCCTGCTCATTACTGCAAATACGTTAGAGTTTACATGTATTTTCTCTGCCAGAGATGCTATCAGAGACTGGGGACAGAGATATGCGTATGTTTACCGAGCTAAGATTGTTTTTTGTATGGTTTTAAAGATGTAGTCATCACATTTGTACCTGTTAGGTTTGTAAACATGGGTGGAATTAGCTAATAAATCTTTATTAGCCGTGCTTGCTAAGACTAACATCACTAGTACTATTGCGTATATTTATGAGGTTAAACAAACTTGTTTATATCGTTCTGTGCTACAAACATGAAATATGCGTCAAAACTTAACGATTTTCGTTTGGCGGACACTAAAACGACATAAAAATCTCATAGATAGATATACCTGAGCCTTATCCAAAGGACTTGGGTCATGCCTAGTGTGGCAGTAAGTGGTCAGGTGCTTAGAAAATTACCAATAATAAGAGAAATCCTATAGTCGACTACGCCACCCGGAATACACCAGGACATAACAGCCCTAAACAAAGGGACACAGGTTCGTTGCCAAAGGCAGGGTGAGCATAATAATAATAATAATAATAATAATCAAAAGTCACTTTATTAACATACAATTGATAAAAACACATACAACACTTCACACCAGGTCTCAATACATCACACGTCTTTACCAGTAACTTATAAAACAAGTACAATACAATAAGAGAAAATATTATTAATAATATTAATTAATTTTAATAATAAAATAATATTAAACAGCACTCCATGTGGACACGCAGTACAAGGTACCATGGCCAACCCCTCCCACCTAAACGCCAGCCAATCATACTGGGTCTATAGCTCACTCTGCTACACTAGCAACCACGTAAAACCCCCCAGCAACCACATAGCTATGCCTTGGCAACAACCAAAAACACCCTAGCATTGTGTTGGCAAGCTAGTTTTGCGCAAAAAAAAGTTTGTTGTTGTAGCCTGCTAGCTAAAGTAATCACAAATTGTCCATATAAATCAAGTTAAATTTCATATCACACACGACAACAGTTTGCGCTATTTCAGCTATGCTTACTGTAACCAGCTAACAGTAAGTCTACTCAACTATATTAAAAGGCCTAATTAAAAAGTAGAATTGTTTATTTGGATAATTATTATTTTAATTAAGTACTTATTTACTGAACACTAGCAATGTTTATCATATTGCTATTCCCACCATTTTATAAAAGCTCCACTGTGCGTTGTTTAACAACATACAGTCTTTTTGAGGTGATTTTACCTCAGGTAAGGTATTGAAAAAAAGTGACAAAGAAACAATTTTCACTCAGAAAATGCTAGTAAATTTCACACATCTTCACCGGTGTCTACACCGGATGCAACAGTTGTCGCGCCACGCCGCGGGAATCAGCAGTGAGAAGACGTAATTTGCCGTTACAAGACTCAAAACTCGACATCTCTTTTGATGAATGAGTTGATGAAGTAATTTCTTTATGTACAAACTGGTTAAAAAAATCTTCAGCTTTTGGGTTTATTTCGCATCAAACACAAGACAATTTTAAGCAAATAGTGTTAAATCCTATTCATCTAAATTAATTTGAATTTTATTTTTATTCAATTAAAATAAAATGTACTTCACTTAAAAAGCCTTAGACAAATTATGCAAAAAATCTTTTCATCGTTTTCCCTGATGGAGTTTGAACTTCACACAAAGCTGCTTCTGCTTCATACAAATGCCAGTACAGACGTGCCTGTTGCGCAATTTTTTTCTCAAACCAGTTCAGCGAAAATACCACTCAGCAGTTAATTTCATTGGTTGAAGTTTAGGGTTAGGGTGAGGGGTATGGTTAGGGGTTGTGTTTGGTGTAGGCATTCATCACTGTGATTGACATGTCCAATGAAATGTTTCGAATCAGCTGCGGGGCAGAGTTTTTACTGAACAGGTTTAGGAAAAAAAAAATCACGTGTGCCTTTTCGGCCAGAGTCGGAAGTGGAGCAAACTTACAAAAAATGCCATGCACACTGTAACGCGAAAAGGGGCCTCGTGCACTCAAAGCACATGGCCACCCATTCCACGATGACATAATTTTCGTCTAGCACACCTTTGCGCTTGTGCAGATGCAGAGAGTATAAACCAGGCTTGAGCTTGCCTACACTGCAGTGACAAAACAACCATTGAAAATCATTTGAAATTTGTGTCTCGTACGTCCAAGGCATCAGTTTACTGTCAGGGATTTGTCGTGTCACATCCAGTGTAGACAGCATCACTGATTATAATGGGTTCTACTGTATTTTGTCGTGCCGCGCCGCTCACGTCCGGTGTAGACACAGTGTAAAATTTTATTAAAAGTGAAATTTTGAAGTAGAAAGAATGAAATAGCATTTTCTTGTAAAATGTGTTCTGTTTTACTTACAATTTCAAAAATCATTTTTTTACAGTGTGCTTGCTTTATTTCTAGACAAACTTTCAGTATATTTACACATAAATGAACCACTGAGAGACTTTCTCTGATAGCTGACACACTCAGAATACGCCTCCGGCAAACTGGCACCGTCCCGCACGTCCAAGTGTCACAAACCTGCCGAGAGAGATACAGATGCTGATGATGTCTGACATTAGCGAACTCTTAACAGCACCGCTAATTACATGTAAATGCAGCTCACCGCAGGCCTGTTTAACCCTGCGGCTATAATAGCTTTGGCTGGAAAAACTACAAATTTATTCGAGTCCAGGGGAAGTTTTATCCAGCATGGACACAGATGATGATGATGATGATGATGATGATGATGATATATCAATTTAGAAGGCGACTAATGATCTGAATTTGCTTGTGAGTGGCTAATTACACACATATGCTCCTAAAAATGTGTATTAATTACGTTGACAAAGTTATTAGCAGGATACTTCAGTGCAGATTCTCTGTCAGTCAGAAGTCATGTAACTTTTTAACCATTAAATTTGTGCATTCACATGAATGCTTGCTTATATACACGTGTGAGAGAGTGTGTTTCTATTGGCAGATAATCAACTGCAAAGACAGCAGTGCAATTAAAGTGACAAATTGGCCGTGAGCATAAAGAATCTTCCCTGTGTGTTCATATATCCTCCAGAGCCAGCTACACCCGGGAAACACGCGCGCACACACACACACACACACACACACCATCTGAATGGCTGCACATTTAATTGGTAGCCATGCTAATTGCAGACAGTACATCATTTTCACCGCGTCCTTTCAAGGGCCCGAGGCCTCGCAGAACATTAGTGGGTGAAGACCATGACAGCCGGATCACACCTTGAGAATTACCACCTTCACTTAAAACCCTTATATAATCATTCTGTGATTTATTTATAAGGTGGATGTTTACTTATGTGTGAGAACAATAGAGAAGAATACCCACACCTGAATCAATGCAGAAAGGTGCACTGGAGACATGAAATATTATGAAGGAAGAAGATTAATTTAGTAAAATAAGCCATGAAAAATAAAATAGAATAAAATTAAAAATTAAAAATCTGGGGATAAATAGGTAACAGTTCTGTAAGTAATTACTGCAACTAAAATTACTTTGAGAATAAATGTAATATAATATGCCATGAGAAATGAAAAAAAAAATTATTAAGAAGATTAATGTGATAAAAGAAGCTACAAGAAATAAAATAAAATAAATATCTGGGGATTAATGGGAAACAGTTTTGTAAATAAGGTCTGCAACTAAAAATTATTTTAAGAGAAGATTAATGTAATACAATAAGCCATGAGAAATAATAATTAATAAAACAAAAAATGAAATAAAAAAATAAAATAATCTGACCGGGGGTAAACAGAAAATAATTAAATATGCAAAAATTTAAATTCTGCAACAAACAACTATGAGAAAATATTAAATGTATAAGCCATGAAATACTGGGGGATAATAGGCAACAACTATAAAGAAGGATCGCAACAAACAAGTTGAAAAAATGTTAATGTAACATATGTATTATATTAAGATATAAAAATTTATAAATTCAAATAATTTAATGGGGGCAAACAGGCAACAATTAAATAGAAAAGGTCTGCAACTAACATTTATTTTGAGGGACGAGTAATGTAATATAATAACCCATGAGGAAAAAAGATAAATAATAAAATAAAACATGTATCAAGACAGAAAGCCAACAATTTATTTCAATTAGTTGTTCTATATATATATATATATATATATATACATACATACAGTATATATATATATATATATATATATCAATGACATAACACATTCAGTTTAGATGACTAAACTAGTCACATGACTAAAGGCATCTGTATTCTCAACATTAGCGATTAGCTTCTACAGTACAGCTCTACTGAGACTGCTTACACCACTTATACATGAGTAAATGGGTTTGAATGGTGCCTAGTTCCTATTTTAAACCAAATAAGAGTCTTTAGACAGAAAAAGAATGAAATAGAGAGAAATTGTTGTGTGTTTATCAGCCTGCTTGAGACCTATGAATGGCTGAAAGGATGTACTATAGAATGAGTCTGGATTTAGAAAAAGATCAGTGTGGAAAGATCAACCCTAGCATAATGCTCGTAAACAGCAACAAATCTGTCTTTCACTGATTTTCCCTGCTGTCATTTTGAAAGGAGAACATCATAACAGTCCTATTTCTGTCGCTCTTTCACAAATGTACCTCCTTTTATAATCATTCTTTCACGCTGCCATCTGTATTTTCCCCTTCACAATTTTCCTTTTTTCTCTGTAATTGTTGGTGCATGAGGAATGCAGTACTATTTACATGTATATAAAAAAAGTTTAGTTTATTTATTAAAGGGCACCTATTATGCCCCTTTTTACAAGATGTAATATTGATCTTGGGTGTCCCCAGAATGTGTCTGTGAAGTTTCAGCCCAAAATACACAACAGATCATTTATTATAACAGCTGGAAAATGTCATTTTTGGGTTGCGTCTAAAAAAGAGCTGTTTTGGAGTGTATCACTTTAAATGCAAATGAGCTGCATATTCCCGCCCCGTCTCCAGAAGAGGGCGTCAAGTATATGTCTTTCTACATTGCATATCTACAGCAATAAACAGCCGGTAGAAGCAACATAACATATGAGTACATATGATGATACAACATAACGTACATATGAGAAGCCAAATGCACTGAAAGTGGAACGAAACAGGAATGTTACAGAGCTCACGCCTCGCTGACCTGTCATCGGCACGGATCAATTGACCGAGCTGCGCGATCGCGCTACCGAACGAATCTCGCGCTACGAACGGCGCAAACTAATCTCACAAGCGCGCCGCTGATCAGTAAAAAAATACTTGATGTACGCACACAAATACGGTTAAAACGCTAAGCACTATAACAACATGACATTCACAAAGGCGTCTGGAGTGATTCACGTATTTACGTAGATTTTGAGGCACATTACCTTGAAACATGAAAGTAATCCTCAGCAGCTCAGATGTTGGGAGAAAATTAAGACTGTTATGTTCAGTCTTGCATCAGGATTGCTTGCGAGACTTTGTTGATGTTACAACTGCTGAAGCGAGGAGAAAATGAAGGACAGCGTAACCGCTGAGGGTGGAAACTATAGCAATGCAGAGCTGTCAATCAAACCCCGTGGCCCCGCCCTATGCAATGTGACATCACACTGCATGAGAATCAAAACGAGATGGTCCTCACTGCAGAACACAAGATCCAGGGGGCATGGTTGGATCCAGATCCAACTCCTCCCACCTTACACATACCTAAACCTACCCGTCTCCACCCCCTGATCCCTAAACCCACCCCTAAACCTACCAATCTCCACCCCTAGATGTGGATCCAACCACGCCCCCTGGATCTTGTGTTCTGCAGTGAGGGGTTACTGATCAAAATTTATGTCCAAACACCATGTAAAAGTGGATTTTGCCCTTTAATGTCTCAGATTCAGGGGTATATGCTTTTTACAATTAACAATCTAAAAATATATATAGTCAAATCAATTAAATATACAAAAAATCAATTACTATACAAATCTCGGATTCAATTAGTTTGTAAAAAATAATATACCAAAAAAAATTTAAAATAAAAAAATAACTACCAACTACAAAAAAGGTTTCATATTATTTAAAACTAAAGGACATCACAGATATATGAGGGCAAACAGGAAACAATCATTCATTTAAAAATATATATTTTGACAATCAATTAATCTTAATAAGCTCTTAACAAATTATATATATATAAATTATTTATATTTATTTTCTGAGGACATCAGTTGTACCTGTTGAGCTATTAACAACAACAAAACAACTTAAATATAAAAATCAGCTGATGTCATATTATTTAACATTATTAGACACTAAAGAGAGAGCAATAAAAAAAAACTAGGCTAGTTGCAAAACAACAAGAATGTCACGCTCTACTTGGAGAAAAACCACCCTGTTGTTTATTACAAGGGTAAATCACATGACTCATTTGCTATGGAAGAATTCACTAGACCGTTTTAACTGCGTCCGCTAATTTGTTTGTTCAAAACAAACATGCGCGATAAACGAAGTAGTCCTACGTAAACAACTTATCCAAAAATCTCAAAACAACTCACTCAGACGAGCAGGTTCAATCAAATTGTATTTTTCAACAAGCAGCGACACGTAAAACGAAAGAAAGCCAAATATTTACAATTCGCATTTTCCAGGACCGCAGGATGTGGCGGCAGAACGGTAAACATAGCTGTCGGCGAATCGGTCCACGAATGTTCCCTGATGGCGTATGCGTTCATGATGTGCTGTTTTCTGAGTGAAGGGTATTTTTAGAGGTGATCTGTGTGTGTGTGTCATCGCAGCTGCTGTCACACACTCCAGCCTCTGAGGAAATGCTGGATTTGGCCTCCATTACGAGTTCATTTCAGATTTGCAGACATGGTTTTACTTGTTCAAACCGGTCGAGAATAAGTTTAGGTTCACGAATAGGTTAATCACCCACAAAAATGAATATTCAGTCTCATTTACTTGCCCTCATTTCATTCCACACTCGACTTTGTTTCTTCTGTGAAACACAAAAGGAAAATTTCTAAAGAACATCCTCATTATTCTTGAATGCGAACTGAGGCTGTAAACTCTAAAATTACAACAAAAAAAAAACACATTAAAAGTAATCCAAACCACTCATATGACTACATTCCAAGTCTTCTGAAGTCACTGTTACCAAAATACAGAAACATAGTTGTATCTATCCACTTATAGCTCTCAAATCCAATATGGACACTCCTTAAGGACAGTCATTGGAGAAAACACAGCACATGTTGCAAGTATTAAAAGTGATTTCATTTTTATAAAAAAAAATGTCAAGGACAATCAGTTACGGGCAATTAACGGAGCTTCTCAGTGTCCTTTGGCTGAGATGGTTTGTTTTACTGCCTGAGGAATCGAATGGAGAGAGTTCTGGCTCAGCTCTCTTTATACAAAAAGACCTTGTAGCTTTAGCATATTATTTGTAGAATTACTCTCAAACATGCCTTAAAGTCATGAAATCAAAACTTTTTTTAACGTATTACAGTAAATTATTTATCAAACTGCCATTATAAAGAATCAAATATT